CAGCAGTAACCAAAATAAACTGAAACTAAGAGTTCCTTTGTCATCTTTCCTCATCTTCAGGTTTTTAAGATACTTGCCAAACTGGGCAGGAAAATTTCTATTGAACTTACTCCAAGCAAAAATAACTTAGTCATTGCACCAACACAAGACCATTCACTATTACAGACGTAAAGGGAACAAATCAAAACGTCATTCGCCGAATTTTGCAAAGACAAAGTTGACTTAGACTTTGGTTTCTCAAACTTCAACACTGAAGTAAACTATTATTTCAATGCTGCTGGAGATGCTTGGGACCCAGTTAAGTTCACATGCGAAAAATTTGAATGCAAGAGAATAGAAAGCAGACTTGCAGTCTATATGTTGGACCCAGATATTTCAAATGCTTTAGCTGCCAAATATATTGCAGTTCCACTTATGTTCCCTATACAACCAAATATCTGTCAAAGACTTTGCAGGTGAAGTTGGAAACCAAAGTGCTGACCCAGGTGCAAGAACAGATATTGCTTTAACAACTGCAATGAAACATGCAGATACTATGTTTGTACTGTTCAGACGAACTATAAATGACTATTCTTGTTTCTACAACCCTGGTATTAAATATCATATAAACATAGATGGCAAATATTATCCAAGAGAAGAATATTCTACAGTTGAGGATATGAGGTCATACAACTTGACATTAGATGCTATGAACTTTAACAACAACTTCACAACAACCATTAACCCTGAAATGCAAAGTTCTATTATGCCATATGTGAAAGTATGGACTCATACAGGAGGTCAAAAAACTCAATATACAAATGGAGACCGTTCAAACTTTTGGCTTGGCATTCCATTTGCTGACTCAGAAGACTTTATGGGTGTATTTCAACTGTTGGTACAGTTCAAATACAATATACTGGTGACAGAGACGGTCCAGATGAATTGAGAGCAAAGAAGTTTACAAAACCAATAGCACTTTTCACGGAAGATGCTCTTTTGAAGATTCGTTCGATGAAACCTGCTGGGGCTCCTCAGATTGGCATAACGACAGCTTCCATCGAGCAGATTTTGGCAGCAGGTCAGTAAGTTGTTCTTGAACTGACTTCTCTCCGTCAAATATTGACAGTACGCCAGTTTTGACATAATACTGTATTATAAACTTTCCTTTAGTAATATCGGTCAGTTTTGAAGTTATATTTTTGTCTGCTTCAAGAACTTTCACCATTTCAGTTATACCAACTTTCTTTGCTTTATGAAAATATTTAGGTTCAGCAAAGACTGCTATTCTATAACATTTTCCATTGTTTGTGTAAAGAACTATTCTGTCAATGTATTTGTATTGTTTGTGAGTATAAACTTTGTTCTGCTTCAATTCAATAAGATATCCGAATACGTCCATCTTTTTATTCTAAGTAAAATGTCATTTCCGAAAAATAGAAGCGTAAGTGTTTCAAAAGGTTTAATGGCGGTGGCAGATGTGAAGTTAAATTCACCAACTCAAACAAACAGTCAAAGTGTTATTGTCAATGTCAAAGACAGAGATGTTGAAGTGGGAAACCATACGAAGACGAAGATGGTATAACAATTGTTCCTGTAAAAGAACCAACATATCCTGAAGTTACCAGAGACTTAAGTTCTGTTGCAGATATTCGAAACGACTACCAACAACTGAAAGACAAACTTCAAACTCAGAGAAGATTTGTCAAGCTTTAAGTATAATGTTAAACTTGGTCGAACACAACCCTGTAAAAGTGAACTCATATGTCATTGCACCTCATGAAGTTTTGAAAGAACTATTGAAACTTTTGACAGAGGCAGACGATATAAACATCAAAGAAATAGAACCCGACATTAGTTGCTGTGGTGTTTCATATAATGTCATTGACAAGATATACGTTATGAAAGGAGGTGAAACGTTGAACTTAAAGTATAGTTTCCCAGACGTCAAAAAATATTTGACGACCACAACATTTCATTAAAGTTTATTTGCTAAGTAAATGGCAGAAGACATAATGGTTATATACTATTACGACTAAAAACCCTGAGTCATATAATTCTATAACAACAAACTTACAAAGTCCTCAAGGACGATATTGTAAACTAACCTTAAACACAATGACGACTAAAGCCTGTTTTGCTCTTTTGACACCAGAAGACTTTATTGTTGTGAATGGTAAAAAATACTCCTTGAAGATACTTACTCAATATACCACCAACAGGTTTTGTTGACTTATTTAATACTTTAAGTACGGGTGTAACATGTGCTGCAACTAGAGCAGGTTTCATTATGTTTGGATGTCCGACTGAGTTTACTATAAACGATATGAGCTATAATACAAAAACTTATTTCTGGTTTTACTACCAACAGTTTCCTATAACAGGAAAAGGTGTCATACAAGGAATGTCTATTCCATTGACTTTAAGCACACCAATCTTATATATTGTTTCAAACTTAGGTTCAAAGTGTTATTCGAATGTCGACAGAAACTATTATGACCAAAAGATACTTATGCGTATAAACAATACTTTCTCTGCTGGTTTGCCTATTGTTCATTCGAATGCAGAATTTTCAACCTTAGTGAACTCAAACACTTTGGCAAGTATAACGTTGACATTAGTTGACGCAAACTTTGTTCCTGTAAAACTTTTATGTCCTATGTATTTGTCAATGACGGCAGAAAGTTTCGAATTGGAAGATGCAACTGGTGAAAGTATTGTATTACAAGAACAACTTCAACAACAAATAGCTCAAGAACAACAAATGCAACAAATGGAACAACAAAGTCAAGAATAAAAAAATAATATTTTTTTTATTTTTATAAAAATGTACAGAATAGATGTTTCAGATTTTTATGACTTCCAAGCATTCAGAAATATGTGTCCATTTCGAGACTATAACAAAGCAGTCGAGAATTTGAAACGTTTAGTCATTTATGTTGACTCTGCCCCAGAATGTTATGTCATGAAAGAATGGGATGTTGTCTTTAACAAACCAAGAGCAACAATAGTTTCAGAACAAGAATGTAGACAGAAACTTAAGAAAATAAAAATCGTACAAGTTGGCATGAAGATGTTAGATGCTTGGGATATCTTATTGTCAAAACTTGAAGATTTTTCAGTTCGTGGTATAAAGTTTTATACACCTTCTCCAAACTTCTATTCTATCTTCACTGGATATAAATACGAACAAGTAGAATGGAAAGAAAATATTATAGAAGCTTGGTTAGACCATGTCAAAGAAATTATATGCAATGGAAACGAAAAGGTTTATGAGTATATCTTATGTTGGTTTGCAAACATCTTACAACATCCAAGTGCTAAAAATGAAACTGCTCTCATTATAATTGGAAAACAAGGAACAGGTAAGAATACTTTCTTTACAGATATCTTATGCAAACTGTTAGAAGGTTATTCGAACCCTAATATGACAAACTTAGAAAACATCTGCGGTAAATTTAACTCTTCTATTGAGAATATGAAACTTATAGTTTGCAATGAACTTCAAAGTATAGATACAACAAAAGTTTTGAACTCAGATGCTTTGAAGAGTCTTATAACAGACAAAGTTGGAGTTGTTGAAAGAAAGTATAAAGACCAAAGAGTTTGTGAAAATGTTGCAAACTTCATTATGGTTTCAAACAATGTTGTTCCGATGAAGTTAGAAAGTTCTGACAGAAGATATGTAGTTGTCAGAACGTCAGATTCTCATATGCAAGATACAGAATATTTTGACGACTTAGCAGAAACTTTGACATCTGACTTTTACAACCACTTGTTCTCATATTTCATGACATTAGATATTTCTAAGTTCAATCCAAGACAAATTCCACATACCGAAGAGAGACAAACATTGTTAGAAGCAAACAAGAGTGTATATGAACTGTTCATAGATGAAACTGACTTTGTGTCATTAGATGAAAAGTCTTTATATGATGAATATAAACAATATTGTCAAGAATATGGTTATATGGCAGCTTCTAAACGAACATTCTTGGCAAATGTCAAAAGTCTTTTAGACGTACAGAATGGTGTATATACAAAGAAAAATTTTTCTGAGTAAATTTTAAAAAAAATATTTTTTTATCCGATAGAAAAGATGACGAAATTCATCTCAGTAAACAAGTACATGTCAGGACTTAAAGAAGAACTAGACCCATTCACATATTTGAATGTTTACTTCTACCATTTTGAAAAGTCTTCATTCAGCAAAGTTTGGAACATCGAACCAGTTAAGTTTGCTATTGTGACTAAAAATGGTGCGAAATTTGAAGACTTAGACATAGAAGGTTTGTTAACAGTCAAAGAAAGTTTTGACAGAAGGTTCTCAAACCTTAAAGAAGGCAAAGCATACAAACTTGTTATACCTTATGAACCAAAGAAAGCAGACGACTATGAATATTATGAGTCTAAAGTTGTAGAAGTTCAAGGTAAATTGGGTAAAAAGATTTTAGAGTCTAAGCCGGTGTTTACTCCTAAAGAGGAAGAGAACATTGACATTGACCCAGAAATGTTCTAAAAATAAAATTTTATTTTTACATGTCAAATTTCTTTTTCTCTGGAACTGGTTCAGGTTCTTTCTTCTCTTCTACTTTTTTCTCTTTCTTTTCTTTCTTCTTCTTTTCTGGTGGAGTTATGTCAAATTTGGCGCAACCATATTTATGTAAAAGTTCTTTGTCCTTTAATAGCTCTTCTATTCTGTTTTCTATTTCATCTTCAAGAACAGCGCATGTGTCTTCTTTGCATTCTAAGAACTTTTGTTGGACTTCATCTTTCCAATCGGCGTCATCTCTGTCAACAAGTCTGTCATTGACAAATTTTAAGACTGCTCTGCTTAATGTTTTATGGTTCTTGTCATATTCCCAGAAACAGAACTTTAGAACAAATTCACCTTTCTTGTTTACACTATGTAAGATTTTATGGTCGACAGATGTTTTGCTGTCGAAAAGCTTGTCTCGAATATAGATAGCGAAATCGCTAGACATTTTCTAAAAGATAAAAATTTTAATTTTTCTAAAAATATGTTAGAAAAAAAGTTTGCTGACATTGACAAGAAATTTGAGAATGTTTTAAATAAGAACAAGGTGAAGTTAGAAAATGCTCAGATAAAGCCTATACATGACAAGTTCTTATTTGCTCAGAATGGTATAACAGGTCTAATTGCACCACCTGGGTCGGGTAAGACTTTCACTTATCTTAAAATGGCTGCACAACAACAAGAACTAGATGAGAAGAACCCATTCTATGAGTTAGTTGTTATTTGTAGTACTTCTGGTCAATTTGACCAAACCGTCAATTCGTTCAAAGATATTATAAAGAAGTCTAAGTTAGTATGTATAAAGGATACTGAGTTGTTAGATTGGATAAAGAAGTACCAAAGAAGAGTTTTGAAGTATAATGCTATAAATGAGTATATAAATTCTAAGTTTAAAGACCCAAATGAGGAAATGCAGAGAATATTAGAGAAGAAACACTTCAGAAACAAACAGAAAGAGATAGAATACATTTCGAAGAAATTGCAATCTTACGATTGGAAGACTTACCCTCATAGATGTCTTCTTATCTTAGATGACTTTGCTTCTCATCCTTTGTTAAAGAACAGAGAACAAGATATGTGTCGAATTCTTAAGAAGCTCAGACACTTTAACATCTCAGTCGTAATATGTGTACAGACAGCAAAGAGTTTAAGTAAGGATGTTAAAAGAATACTTACTGACATAATACTTTTCCCGGATTGTCCGAAGACGATTTCATGGAACTTATGAAAGAGTCCATGGCAGGTAAGTTTGACAGACATGAACTATGGGAGAAGTACAAAGTCATACAAGACCCTCATACTTCTTTCAGAATTCATATCTACGCGAACAAAGTTCAAATTGTAAAAAGTCAAGCTTGAAAAATCTAAGTGTTTAGTCTTAGTAAGTCTGTTGTGGTGCTGGGGCTGTCGGTTCTTCTGGCTTTGGAAGGCATTCAGGAAGAGGAACGTCAGTCATCCGTTTGTGTCCTGTCGGAAGGAAAAACTTTTCCTGTCGGAAGGAAAATTTTTTCCTGTCGGATGGAAAAACTTTTCCTGTCGGAAGGAAAAACTTTTTCTGAAGTTCGACCAAAAAGTTCTCAATTTTCGAAAATTTGAATGGTTTACGGACGGACAACTGGAAGAGTTCTTCCTGTCGGAAGGAAAATATTTTCCTGTCGGATGGAAGAGTTCTTCCTGTCGGAAGGAAAATTTTTTCCAGTTGTCGGGAAAATATTTTCCTGTCGGATGGAAGGACTCGGAATGCCAGAAGGATTTGACGAGGCAATTTACCTAATTGAGCTACTTGAGCCATCTGAAGTCAAGCGTAAAAATAAAGAGTGCAATTTACTCTACTTGTTTGAAGTTGTCAAAATACTCTGTTATTTTTTCCTTTAACAATGGCAAATCTTCTTTGAAGGTAAGTATTGTACAACCTTTCATATCATAGTGTGTTTGAGGTAACGTATCTTGAACTATTTGTTTCACATCTTCATTTGGGGTCATTGAAATCGGTAAGTTTTCGCGATAGAACCAATTTCTGTCAGATTTGTAAATCTTAGCAAGGTCGTAAAAGCTTTTGTTGTTTCTTCTGACTAAATGCAACATAACCATATCTTTATCTTCTTCATTTTCCATCTCTTCAGTATAAATCATATACTTATAGTTCTTTTCCTTTCCTTTTGGTACCGAACGTGGTATTCTTTTCTGAATGCTTTTGTCTTTTGCTTCAAGCTTGTTTTCCATCTCTTCACGTTCTTGTCTATGAATTTCGTCAAGAAGTCTGTAAATATACCAAGCATAACGAGGCGAAGCCCACATTGCAACAGCATTTACAAGAAGTCTATGTACATAATATCCTCTCAAACCGTTTGGCAATTTTTCACGATTTTCATAGAGTTTTGGCGACTGTGGTTTTTTACTTACTCGCTGTTCTTCACTGTTTTCATAGAGTTTTGGCGACTGCGGTTTTTTACTTACTCGCTGTTCTTCACTGTTTTCAGAAAAAAGTATGTCTCGCTGTGCTTCGCTCAAAAGTTCTTGTGTGCTTTGGTTCCTAAACCAGTCTTGTGGTTTCTTAGTATCTGGAGCAAAACATGCTGTCAAAATACTTTGCATTTGGTACATATCGTCTTTGACCGAACAAATGAGACGGAGTTGTTTGTTAAACTGTATGTACTCATATTCTTCATTTATAGCTTCATGGACTATAACTGTTGTTGTGTTCTCTGTTGTTGACATATCTGTCTTTACATACAAAATAAAAAAATAAATAAAAATAAAACTAACTTTATTTTTTCTATCTTAAGGAAATTCATGAAATTTGTGCTGAATTCAATAAAAATAAAGTTTATGTTAGCATGTTAGATCTAACACGTTTTCTAACCTCTTTTCTAACATGGTCCAAAACACACAAAACTCATGAATTCTCGTGAATTTCCTTAAGATAGCAAAAATAATGTTTATGTTAGCATGTTAGATCTAACACGTTTTCTAACCTCTTTTCTAACATGGTCCAAAACACACAAAACTCATGAATTCTCGTGAATTTCCTTAAGATAGAAAAAATAATGTTTATGTTAGCATGTTAGATCTAACACGTTTTCTAACCTCTTTTCTAACATGGTCCAAAACACACAAAACTCATGAATTCTCGTGAATTTCCTTAAGATAGCAAAAATAATGTTTAGGTGAAGAGGTGAGATCTAACACGTTTTCTAACCTCTTTTCTAACATGGTCCAAAACACACAAAACTCATGAATTCTCGTGAATTTCCTTAAGATAGAAAAAATAATGTTTAGGTGAAGAGGTGAGATCTAACACGTTTTCTAACCTCTTTTCTAACATGGTCCAAAACACACAAAACTCATGAATTCTCGTGAATTTCCTTAAGATAGAAAAAATAATGTTTAGGTGAAGAGGTGAGATCTAACACGTTTTCTAACCTCTTTTCTAACATGGTCCAAAACACACAAAACTCATGAATTCTCGTGAATTTCCTTAAGATAGAAAAAATAATGTTTAGGTGAAGAGGTGAGATCTAACACGTTTTCTAACCTCTTTTCTAACATGGTCCAAAACACACAAAACTCATGAATTCTCGTGAATTTCCTTAAGATAGCAAAAATAATGTTTAGGTGAAGAGGTGAGATCTAACACGTTTTCTAACCTCTTTTCTAACATGGTCCAAAACACACAAAACTCATGAATTCTCGTGAATTTCCTTAAGATAGAAAAAATAATGTTTAGGTGAAGAGGTGAGATCTAACACGTTTTCTAACCTCTTTTCTAACATGGTCCAAAACACACAAAACTCATGAATTCTCGTGAATTTCCTTAAGATAGAAAAAATAATGTTTAGGTGAAGAGGTGAGATCTAACACGTTTTCTAACCTCTTTTCTAACATGGTCCAAAACACACAAAACTCATGAATTCTCGTGAATTTCCTTAAGATAGCAAAAATAATGTTTAGGTGAAGAGGTGAGATCTAACACGTTTTCTAACCTCTTTTCTAACATGGTCCAAAACACACAAAACTCATGAATTCTCGTGAATTTCCTTAAGATAGCAAAAATAATGTTTAGGTGAAGAGGTGAGATCTAACACGTTTTCTAACCTCTTTTCTAACATGGTCCAAAACACACAAAACTCATGAATTCTCGTGAATTTCCTTAAGATAGAAAAAATAATGTTTAGGTGAAGAGGTGAGATCTAACACGTTTTCTAACCTCTTTTCTAACATGGTCCAAAACACACAAAACTCATGAATTCTCGTGAATTTCCTTAAGATAGCAAAAATAATGTTTATGTTAACATGTTAGATCTAACACGTTTTCTAACCACTTTTCTAACATGGTCCAAAACACACAAAACTCAACGGTTTGACACATGCCATATGCCATTTTACTCAGAATTTTGTGCTGAATTCAGCAAAAATAATGTTTAGGTGAAGAGGTGAGATCTAACACGTTTTCTAACCTCTTTTCTAACATGGTCCAAAACACACAAAACTCATGAATTCTCGTGAATTTCCTTAAGATAGCAAAAATAATGTTTATGTTAACATGTTAGATCTAACACGTTTTCTAACCTCTTTTCTAACATGGTCCAAAACACACAAAACTCATGAATTCTCGTGAATTTCCTTAAGATAGAAAAAATAATGTTTAGGTGAAGAGGTGAGATCTAACACGTTTTCTAACCTCTTTTCTAACATGGTCCAAAACACACAAAACTCATGAATTCTCGTGAATTTCCTTAAGATAGAAAAAATAATGTTTAGGTGAAGAGGTGAGATCTAACACGTTTTCTAACCTCTTTTCTAACATGGTCCAAAACACACAAAACTCATGAATTCTCGTGAATTTCCTTAAGATAGCAAAAATAATGTTTATGTTAACATGTTAGATCTAACACGTTTTCTAACCACTTTTCTAACATGGTCCAAAACACACAAAACTCAACGGTTTGACACATGCCATATGCCATTTTACTCAGAATTTTGTGCTGAATTCAGCAAAAATAATGTTTATGTTAACATGTTAGATCTAACACGTTTTCTAACCTCTTTTCTAACATGGTCCAAAACACACAAAACTCATGAATTCTCGTGAATTTCCTTAAGATAGCAAAAATAATGTTTATGTTAGCATGTTAGATCTAACACGTTTTCTAACCTCTTTTCTAACATGGTCCAAAACACACAAAACTCATGAATTCTCGTGAATTTCCTTAAGATAGCAAAAATAATGTTTATGTTAACATGTTAGATCTAACACGTTTTCTAACCTCTTTTCTAACATGGTCCAAAACACACAAAACTCATGAATTCTCGTGAATTTCCTTAAGATAGAAAAAATAATGTTTAGGTGAAGAGGTGAGATCTAACACGTTTTCTAACCTCTTTTCTAACATGGTCCAAAACACACAAAACTCATGAATTCTCGTGAATTTCCTTAAGATAGCAAAAATAATGTTTATGTTAACATGTTAGATCTAACACGTTTTCTAACCACTTTTCTAACATGGTCCAAAACACACAAAACTCAACGGTTTGACACATGCCATATGCCATTTTACTCAGAATTTTGTGCTGAATTCAGCAAAAATAATGTTTATGTTAACATGTTAGATCTAACACGTTTTCTAACCTCTTTTCTAACATGGTCCAAAACACACAAAACTCATGAATTCTCGTGAATTTCCTTAAGATAGCAAAAATAATGTTTATGTTAACATGTTAGATCTAACACGTTTTCTAACCACTTTTCTAACATGGTCCAAAACACACAAAACTCATGAATTCTCGTGAATTTCCTTAAGATAGCAAAAATAATGTTTATGTTAACATGTTAGATCTAACACGTTTTCTAACCACTTTTCTAACATAACTATTTACAAGCGTTTTACATGGTATATGTTGCGATGGTTCATGACTTTAAACAGTTTTGTAGCTTCTATTTCTTCTTTTAGTACATCGAATGTTTTAACTATGCCGAAGGTTTCTTTATACTTCTTCTTGACGTCAGATAATAGGAAATCGTCAGCAGTTGGATAGTTTTTGTTCAGAAATGCTAACATGTCCATTTTATCTTCTGCTGGCTTTTCTGCTTCTTTCTTTAAGTCTGCATAGTCGTTTCTCATACGTTCTATCTCTTTGACGGAGTAGTTATATCTCCTCATTGCTGCTTTACATTTAGAACATTGCGGGTTCATTTTTGCGTTATATTCTGAAACCTTACCTGCTAAAACAACTAAGGCGTCAATGGTTTTCTTTAACTCAAAAGCTGCTGGTTTTATCTGTTCATTCCATACTTTACCTCTTCTATCTTTATCTCTTATCTGCCATACACATTCTGCAACTAATGAAACAAAGTTGTCGTATGTCTTAAATTCTTCAGATTTATATATGTCAGAAATATTTTTATAAACCATGTCGCAATCTTTGTCCATAACCTTATGGTTGCAATGAAAACCAAGGAATTCATAATTTACCTTTCGTATGAACTTCTTTATTTCTACTGAGTCAGTTGGTTTGACTTCAATTTCGTCAAATTCAGGAATAGTGAGTTTTTGTTGTTGGATTTCAGGTAGTTTAGGCAAATGGTCAATAATGTCCTGCATTTCATAAAGATATTCTTCATTTTCTTCATCCTGTGCGGTACAGTCTAAATTACTTGTTAAAAGTTCTTGCTTTATCTTCTGGATTTCTGTTTCAAAAGTATATGAAGAAGGAATGAAGCTTTTCATTTCTACTAACATAGATGTTGGATTCATAACTAACGAGTTTGGTGCTGTTGTTGCTAACATGTTCTTACAATAAAAATAAAAAATATTTTTAAAAAAAACTAACTTTATTCTTAAGGAAATTCATGAAAATTCAAGAGGTTAGAAAAGTGGTTAGAAAACGTGTTAGATCTAACCATCTACCCGACATTCTCGTCAAATACAAAAAAATGAAGAATAACTTTCACTTTTTCATTATATAACTGTTATTTTTGACGAAGTGAAGATTGACACTTCGTCAAAAAAATCCCTGAAATCATATCTTACATACAAAATAAAAAAATAAATAAAAATAAAACTAACTTTATTTTTTCTATCTTAAGGAAATTCATGAAAATTCATGATTTTCGAGAGTTTTAGACCATGTTAGAAAAGTGGTTAGAAAACGTGTTAGATCTAACATTCTAACATAAACTTTATTTTTGGTGAAAAATGACCAAATTTCATGAATTTTCACAAAAGACCAAAAATAAACGCTTTACATGTATTTTTCAGCAACTTCGTCAAATAATTTTATAGCTTTATCTATCTCATCTACTTCAAACGTTTCTTTACCTTTTATGGGAGCACCATACCTTTTCTCAAACTTTTCAAGTAGTTCTGTTTCTGCAGCTCTCATATCATTAGCAAACACAACCTTGACTCTATTGACTGTACTGTCATATCTTTGAGTTATATTATATGTTCTTCCTATCTTATATCTCTTTGTATTGAAGTCCTTCGGTTTCTGAACGATGTAAAGTAAGCCTTCACTGCAACGTTCCGTATCGAATGAACCATATGTTATGAAGTTATATCCAACAACTGGGTCTAACCATAACAAAACTATTGGTATAAGACTTTTGTCTATAAGATATGCTCTTGTTCCATGAAATGCTACTGATATCATAAGCTCAGGATTTCTTGTCAAAATTTTCTGAGTAGAAGCAATTCTAACCCAGTCCTTTGCTTTCTTTCCAGATGGAGATATAATGTCTGACAAAGAATATTTGTTGTATTTCTTTGAGTATCTTACGTTTAAATCACCGATTCTAACCACTTTGGTGTCATTGTCTATCTTTCTAACTGTTTCAAACTCAATGTTTGTCATTTCTGTTCTTACATACAAAATAAAAAAAATAAATAAAATAAAACTAACTTTATTTTTTCTATCTTAAGGAAATTCATGATTTTCGAGAGTTTTAGACCATGTTAGAAAACAGGTGAAAAAACGGGTGAGATCTCACCTCTTCACCTAAACATTATTTTTGGTGTAAATTTCATTGACTGACTGACTGACTGACGGCACAAAGTGGCATAACGAAAACATTAAAATATGAAAATTCATGAAATTCAAGAGGGTGAAAAAACAGGTGAAAAAACGTGTTAGATCTCACCTCTTCACCTAAATTATATTTTTGGTCCGGGAACAACTTTCTCTCAATTGGAGCTGTGGCATAATCTTTGCCAAGCGTCCTTGGATACTACTTCCAAACAGAGAGAACCCTTTCCCAAGAATGAACCAAATTCTCAGAGCACTGTTCCACTTCTCTGGTCAACAATTCATTATAACCTCAGAAGGCGACATCCAACCAGTTCAGTAAACATCTCATTTTAACTCACTTTTTTATGTTTTTTGTGAAAGTGTCAAAAATAAATTGTTTTCATGAGTTTTCTACGATGTTAGAAAAGTGGTTAGAAAACGTGTTAGATCTAACATGCTAACATAAACATTATTTTTCAATACTTTTTCAGCACTTTTCCGTAGTTATATATGAAAGACAATTCGAGATAAAAGTCATAGTACAATGGAATAATATGTTGCACACCATTTGTTGTGAACCAAACTTGAAAGTCAGAGAAACTGTTACTAGGTGGTTCGTAGAATTTAGAAGCAAAGTCATAAAAGTCCTTACCAATACATAGAAAACTATTGTTGCTTGAACTGAAACTTGCATGACACATAACATTTTGAGGGTCAAACACGTTTCTATAAACTGTCAAATCTGCTGGTGGAAGTATAAATTTAAATGGACCATCTGGTGGTAATGGTTCGTTCTGGTTTAGTAACCGAAGAAATTGTGCCCAAGAACGTTTGTCTACTTTCCAAAATAAAAACTCTGTATCTCTTGGAGGGTTAATTTCAATCTTTTGAAATGAAACGGTGGAGTTCATCTTGTCATATTCTAGTTTCAGATAGTATGTTCCATTTAGTAAAGAGTCGTATTTTCTTGAAATTCCCAATAATATTTGTTCATTTGAGTTTGAAAGTCATTTAGAGTTTTCTCAAGACTTTCGTCTGAACGAACTGTAAAGATTCTCATTTCGTCAAATTTGTCTATTAGACCATCAGAACCTTTATACTGCCCATGAAAATATACTACGAACATAAATGCGTTAGTTCTATTTGAAAACAAAACTCTTCTAAATCCTATTGCCTTTGCATCTGAAGGACTTTGAAGCCAACGAATTGGATAGTCAAACCTGTATGCTCGGGATGAAATTTCTTCATCTGAAATAGTCCTACCAGCATTTGTAAAGATATAGTCTAACGGTTTTGTATCTGCTACTTTTGTTCTTTGTTTTTCAACCTGAAGCATTTAATATATGTAAAATATATTGTTTTAAAATGGTATGCCATTTCATATTTCTCATCTAACAAACAAGTTTCCCAACGGTCTTCTCCAACAAACTCAGCGTACATTTCAAATAAAATTAAAAAATGTCACTTTTTTAAAATAAATTTTTTATTTCATGCAATGTTTTATTTCTGTGCCGTCTTCAAGTATGCCCCAATATTTCCTTTTCGATATTACATGAACTTCGGAAAATACCTTATCTAGCTTAAAACAGCCCATCTTTTCACCGACCATTCCCATTTCAATGAGTTTGTTATAGCCTTCTTCGTTCGTCATGAGTGCGTCAATGTTCTCATAGTAAACCTTGACTTTGGATTTGACTTCGGAGAAGAATTTGTTGTACTCGTCAAGGACTGCCTTTGCGAACTGAGGGTAAGACCAATGTTCGACAATAGGTTTTAATGTGGTTACTAAGCCACTTTGACCTTGAGTGAATTCGTACTTCAAAACAAAAGGAGAAAACCTTTCAACAAAGTTGTCGACCTTCTCATAATGTTTACTCTTCATCTCTTGAGGTTTCTTAATGGAATATCCCCATGTCGAATTCATAAGCAATTTGAGTGTCATTGCAAGTTTGGGGTTTGAAGCTTTCCTAATATCATACAGTTGTTGTATGACTTTTCCAACTGTATAGTTCCTTCCCGGGAACTCACCATCTTCGTTTGGAATTCCAGTCGGAATATATTGGACAAACCTCATGTACGCAGCGTTAAGGTCGACATAGTATATCTTTTCGTTTGAGTCGAACTTGTCGCAACCAATTGGTCCAGTTTGTGGAAATTCAAGTGAGTCTCTTATCTTCTGAGAAACTTCTCCTGTTATCTCATAAACATCGTCGAAGCAACCTGTTTCATATAAAACCTTCTGACCTAACTCAGATGCTCTCCAATACAATTTGACGTCAATTGGATGTCTCAATGGAAGTTTGTTTTATAGCATCTTGAAGTTCTTGCAACCTCATTGGAAGTTCTTCTGGTTCAGGTTGGTATCCGAACATACCAACTCCTTGTGGAACTGTGTACTTCTTTTGTACTAGAACTTTGTCTGGAACAACTTTTGGTCTTGCTAACAATGAAAAGTTTGCTTCGTCTTTTGGTACAAAAGTTTCTGTCAGCTTGTCATCTGGAATTGGTTCCAACAAACCTTTCTCGAAAAGAATGTTTACAGCTCTGACAATGTTGCACTTGCCTTTTCCGAACAATGGGTTTGTAAGACTTTCGTTCAACATGAAGTGGTTGTGGACAATTACAATCTTCAACCATGGCAATTTGAACTCAACAACATAGTCGTCATGTGAAGAACCTTTAGCTGTAGGTATGTTGACTCGGATATTGACATTTGCCAACGGTGCAATTTTTGCCAATTGACCTCTGAGAATGTACCTTGTCTTCACACATGACTCAAGATACTTCATCTTCTCTTCTGTAACAAGACCAGAGTTCCTGAGACATGTAAGAATGCAAGGTTCGTTGACAATTGTTTCAATTGAATTGTAAATTCCATACCTTGTCAAGTCAATGTCAGACTTATTTATGAAGGGGAAGTATCCAGCATGTTGTCTGACTGCTTGAGGGTTAGGTTGGTACCATTCGAACTTGACACTTGCAATTCCTTCAATTGCATTCAAAATGTCTGAGTCGGAGTCAACCATTTGTTCTCTCTTTGTAGTCTTGAAAGCGTCAAGAAGTTTTGCGGCTGTTTGTTCATTGCCATGTGCATAGTAAATGTGACCATCCAAATCTGTTATGGTCAATCTGAGATTGTGTCCTTTCTTATTTCCGTCTTGTATGGCAGCAAGTACTCCCATGAAGCCTTCTTTGTTCTTTCCTTCGTCAAAGTTTACTGTAAAGGTTCGACCAGATGTAATTTGACTTCTAACTTCACGAACTTTTCATATGCATATCTTGTTCTTTCCATGGGAGCATGTGTGTCTTCACCTTTTCCTTTTTTCCTTCTCAAAGGATGCAATTGTTCGTCATGTTTCCAGTAGAATCTGGCAAAGCTGTCGTGTCCTTCAACTTGAGGTTCACTAACATCGAAAGGCATGTCCATAAGACGTTCTTCTTCTAACCTCTCTAGTCTGTTTGGATAATTGGCACGTGCTGTTTCCAAATCCATTTCGTAGCGAAGACCAGACAATTTGTCATAGACTTTTATGGGTCTTCCCTTCTATATTTAAAATTCTTCGAAACTCTCCAACCATATCTTTGTAACTCTGCTTTTATTCTAGCAGACTTTCTATCCATTCTATATGGGGGCATTTTTATAAAAATAAAAAAATATTTTTTTCTTTACTTTACATAAACCGCCTGCTGCCATAAGTCTTTGACGCCAACCCATACCAGCTAATGAAGGTTGACTTGGTTTAGTTTCCAAACTAAACTTTGGTTTTGGTTTATCTTCAGTTTTTGGTTTTCTTCTTCTATCGGTTTTTCGTCACTTTTCGGTTTCTCTGACTTTACTTCACTTGCAGGAACAGTTGTGTCGTCAACATCTTCATAAATATCATATCCATTTGTTTTTGTTTTCCTTTCAACTTTTTGGTGTTTGTTGTAAAGTTTAGAATATTTCGACTCTAAGTCAATGAGATGTTCTATAATGAACTGTTGGTCAGTGAAGTAAACTTTTCATCTGTTGTCTCGAAAGTCCTTCAGACTTCAATATTTTATTTGTGAGAGTCTGTTTCTTTTTTGAGATACTAGCCGTTCCATTTTTTATTGAAAAGTGACTTGTAGTTAGGGTTTTGTATTTCCAGACCTGGCACTTTCTATTATTGAATTTTCTCTTCATCTGTAAGTTCTTTGACGGTTTTGACAATGGTTCTGAACTGTGTTTGTGGTGTCAAATCTACCGTTTCAACTTCTTCGGTCATTTCATCTCAGTAAAAAATTTTAGTTTGGTTTGTTTTCAACTGGTTGTTGTTGTTTTTTAAGTCGGTCTAAAACTTCCTGAGGTATAGGAAGAACTTGACAAACACGTGGTGTAACTGCTGGAAGCCGACAAATCCATCTTGAACTTATTTGTCTCAATGCTGCATTGTTCATTTCATCTCAATAAAAAACTTTACATTCCCACGTTTGAGGCGGTTGAGGTTGGTTATTGTTTACCCACTGTTGTGCATGGTTATATCCTCTGTTAAAGAATCTTTCACCTTGGTCCATATAGTGTCCTGCTTGGTTATAGTAGTCATTTGCTTTGTTATAATAGTTTCCTGCTTGTCTTCCTACATTGTCCATCCATTCTTGAACTTTCCTCTTGTTTCAGGATTTGGAATAAGATTTGTTGCATCTCGTGCTACATCCCAACCTTTCTGTACAGTTTGTATAATAGGTTGTGCTTTCTCTTTCAGTATACCTAATGTACTCAAAATCTTCCTTCCAATTCCAAATGCACCTCTGGCTATTGTTCCCACTGCGGGTAAAAATCTAGATGCAACTCCTGCTAATGCGCCAAATAAACCCATTTCTTATGG